ATAAAATATAACCGTGAATTTACGTATATAAAATATAACCGTGCGTTTACGTATATAAAATATAACCGTGTATTTACGTATATAAAATATAACCGTGCATTTACGTATATAAAATATAACCGTGCATTTACGTATATAAAATATAACCGTGCATTTACGTATTCGTATATAAAATATAACAGTGCGTTAACGTATTCGTATATATAACAGTGCGTTTAACGTATTCGTATATATAACAGTGCGTTAACGTATTCGTATATATAACAGTGCGTTTACGTATTCGTATATATAACAGTGCGTTTATGTATTCGTATATATAACAGTGCGTTTATGTATTCGTATATAAAATATAACAGTGCGTCTACGTATTCGTATATAAAATATACCAGTGCGTTTACGTATTCGTATATATAACAGTGCGTTTACGTATTCGTATCTAAAATATAACAGTATGTTTAACAGTGCGTTTACGTATTCGTATATAAAATATAACAGTTCGTTAACGTATTCGTATATATAAACAGTGCGTTTACGTATTCGTATATAAAACAGTACGTTTACGTATTCGTATCTAAAATATAACAGTGTGTTTAACAGGGCGTTTACGTATTCGTATATATAAATATTAGGCTACAAGATCTATGGGAACAAGTTAAAAGTCATGCCATAGTATGTTTTCAGGTGAGTGAATTGTATACCTTCATTAATTAAAGCATAACTAGATATTCACTGCTTGTAATATTAGAATTGTAATGAATTAATTTTAATATTTTATTTTAATTTCAGAACTAAAGCCCAATCATTGCCTGAAAAATCATATATCGCACAAGTATTTCACTGCGTATAGGCTACAAGATCTATAGGAACATGTTTTAAAAGTCATGCCATAGTATGTTTTTAGGTGAGTGAATTGTATACCTTCATTAATTAAAGCATCACTTGATATTCACTGTTTGTAATATTAATGAATTAATTTTAATAATTTAATTTAATTTCAGAATTAAAGCTGAATCACACTACATGGGAAATCATGTATCACACAAGTATTTTACTGCGCCTAGGCTACAAGATCTATAGGAGCAAGTTAAAAGTCATGTCATAGTATGTTTTCAGGTGAGTGAATTGTATACCTTCATTAATTAAAGCATAACTAGATATTCACTGCTTGTAATATATTGTAATGAAATAATTTTAATATTTTATTTTAATTTCAGAACTAAAGCTTAATCACTACCTGAGAAATCATATATCGCACAAGTATTTCACCGCGCCCAGGCTACAAGATCTATAGGAACAAGTTAAAAGTCATGCCATAGTATGTTTACAGGTGAGTGAACTGTATACCTTCATTATTAAAGCATAACTAGATGTTCACAGCTTCTAATATATTTTAATGAATTAATTTTATTTTAATTTCAGAACTAAAGCTTATCGCAGAAGTATTTCACTGCGCCTCGGCTACAAGATCTATAGGAACAAGTTTTCAGGTGAGTGAATTGTATACCTTTATTAATCAAAGCATAACTAGATATTCACTGCTTGTAATTTATTGTAATGAATTTATTTTAATACTTATTTCACTGCTTGTAATATTAGATCTGTTTATTTTTTTTTTAAAGATTCCTCTCATTAGTAAATAGCGCCCTCACTCAACAATATTTAGAATTAGTGGTTGGTCAAAAATTTGATGATTAGGTGCATCTATTGGCTAAGCTTGTTGTACATAGATGCAATTGAGTATAGGAATCATTAATGCTGTAGGGTGTACTGGGAGGAGTGGAGGATTTCAAGTTTGTAATGACTGGTTGTAATGTGCTATCTCGTTGTTTTCAAGATGCAGCCTGATATTTGTTGCTTTCTTGGTTGTTCAATTATGGCTAAAATTTGTGTGGTAGGTGGAAGATGTGTTTATTGTTTGTTGAGTCATTGTTTAGACACCCTGCAGCTTGAAATGATATGGTCCAAATCCAAATTCGATATGGCGGAGTTGAATATCTGTGCGGTATAGCAGTGTCGTCTAAAAACATGGCATCAAAATTATTTCTGTTTATTTATTTACTGTTGTAGATCCTGAGAACTAGCCATTGAATATGATGTCGGGAATAAATGGTTTTCTGGACAAGCTTTATTAATTATTGTTGCCAATATTCCAGTATAAATTGGGAGCAAACTGTGACACCAAATCTAGTCGTTGTATTGTTATGCTTCTAAAATATTTTTTTCAAATGTCTTAAAACAGATTTAAATATAAGGATATGGATTGTAAAATATTAAGATTATATAGTGTCCAACACATTAATTTGTAAATGATAAATTTATTTTAAAGAATACAGTGGCAATATTTTTAACTTTTTTTATTTGTGAAAAAACTGGTATTTTACAGAGTGTAAACAATAAAACACTCACAGTGCAAGGCTAGTTCACCAACATGTCTAAACTCTTGCTTGAGTGTGAAAGTACATGGTTTAGTGACTACCTCTTATGTTTTTAAATTTTAGAATTTCTTTTATTTGGGAAGGTTCTTCTATAAAAATAGAACAGATATATATATATATATATAGGAAGTTAGTCGATTATTCCAGGTGAGAGTGCTCGATACTAAACGATGAGTTTGTAGAGCAGATTTACATACGTGGACAGAGAAATTAAGACACGACTACATGAGTAAAGTTCACTCTACAGTACTGTTTCTTAAGGTACATGGAGTACCTCACTCATCAGGAGTTTAGACTTTATTAAATAATGTTATAAGCGCTACAGATTTGCATAACAATGGAGTAGGTTTACGATATTAAAACTAGTTGTTGCATAGAAACTATTTGGATCTGTGTCTACAGGAAGAAAAAAGCTTATTTCTTTTATTTAAACTACAGTAATGTGTTTGGAAAATTATAACGTTGCAACTCATGCATTAGAGATAAATGTAGCAGGTGTAGAGTTTGCTGTAAAACAAACCAGGGCTTAGTCTACACTAGATCTTACCCACTAGTTTTTACATTGTATTTCTTAGTGAACAGTCAACTATTTTACCAATAATTCAACTGTAAATACCCATGAAAATATCCCCTATATTTTTGGTGGTCAAACAATTTCTACGTATTTTCATATGAATTCATTATCTCTGAGCCCGCTTGTGAACAGTTACATAAGTTCAGGTGTCATGGGAGGGAAGAAAGTATACCCCATCAAACAAATAAACACATCCCAACAAGGAGGTGAAATGTGTAATTAAGATTCTGAACGCCCTCTTCGGTGCATTAAACATTGATTGATTTCATTGTAGTTGAGAGATTTTACTATATGATAAAACTAATAGCTGTTTGTTTGCTGTATGTTTTTACTATCATTGCATACTGATTAGATCCGATAAATGAAAATATATTAAGCAGTGGCTTGTATATTTGTATTTTTGATTTTTTCTAATGACAGCTGCATTAGTTATGTTTCCCAAAATGAGTACTACAACTATGTCATTGGAGAGAACGTCTGTCAAAATACTGTGCGCAAACTTATTTCCGGAAAATAAATATATTTAGGAGAATGTAATGTAATGACTGTTTTCGATGCAAAAGAAAGCACACAATAGATGTAGGCATAATAAAAAAAATATTTATCATTAAAAAAATGCTTTGATGTATTTATTCTCGGCTTATTACGATACTATACTCAAATTTCTTTAAACTGACTGTTTGGCAAACCCAATGGGGTTGCACAGATGTTGCCTGCACCCGAGGTTTTTCCTGTGAGTTTTTTTTATTATGAAAAGGTGAACGTCTGTAACAGTATTCTTGGTTGACATAAAGGTCAGTTATTGTATTGTCTGTACGCACGAGTAATGATTTCTGTAAATAAATCGTCATCATGTGTGGTATGATTTATAATAAAAAAAAATATTCCTGTTCTGTTTGTACAGAACTGCAATTAGCGAAGATTCTCATTGGTATTTCGGTTTCTTCTGTAGTCTTTTCTCTATGATCACCCATATACCCTGCATGGGACAGTCAATCAGAAGATGGAGTAAGAAAGCGACGGCTTTGATTAGTATTAATGTTGATATACACAGATATACCTGTAACCACAAAAAATAAACTCATTAGAAAATACAATGTGTATCTATTACAATACTGAATCGTCAAATAATGTGCGATCCAAGGCAGGTCACGTAATGAATACATTCATCTGGTTTGTATGTTAAATATAATGGTTTGTTTATAATGACACTTGGGATATCTTCAAACTAAACTTACAAATGAATAATTGGTATAGAAAAATAGTCTGTTCAACGTGTAATAATATATGGCAACTAATGGCGGATGGATAATATACCAGTTGTACGTGAGACGCCCAAAAGGAATGAAGAATTTCCATTGCAAGAAAGTATTCACCACTCCTGTAAAATAACCATATACAGTATTTAGTTTACAATAAATTTGGAGAGAAAATGTGCAACCCAACTTGAATGAAATTATAAAAATTACCTAAAAAACAAGGAGACGCTGGTACTACTGACGTTTTCTCACAGAAGGAAATGAATCTGTATATGATTTCTCTCAAGAAAACGTTTTGTTTAATTTTAAAATAGAAATCATCATGAATCCAATAAGTTAACGATCTTACCACCATTTCCAGACAAGCAAGCAAACGGTACCCACGCTACTGCGATGGCCCATGCAGTATGACTGTACGTAATGTAAAAAACCGACTCTGTCTGTGACAGTTCGTCTCCAAGATATGATCCCCATATGCCATAGAGGGAGGTAATTGCCATGAACATCGACATGCACCAGCCGAGTAGGACGTAGTACTGTTGGAATAGGTAACATAAGACTATATCAACCTTATTGTCCATGTACTAGAATTGGTCATAAAACTAACATGCATGGTTTAATTCTCAGGTAGAGGTTCTCGGAAGCAAATCAAGTGAAACGTCGCGATATACCACTATTTATACCTTAAATAACGTGTTCTCGAATAAATATGTCGATGTTAATTTGAAATTTTGAACCAACAATCCGGAGACATCCAGCCAATGCTCGCCGGAAAATGTTGGCAGTCCAACGTATTGTGCTAAAATTTCAGACTTTACCAACGATTATTGTAAATAAAAATAGAGTCTCTCACCCAAGGCAATTTAAATCGTTTTTCTTCATATATGACAATTAAATAACCAGCTACGGTGCCCGATATGAACGAAGGCCACCTAAACCAGGGTTTATCGAACAATAGGTCATATTCACTGGATCCAAGATCTGACAGGTAATTGTCGTTATACAATCTAAAAAAAGAAATCAACACGTTTATGAATGGTTCACAGCAAGCGGATGAGATTGGCTAACTGTGAACACGTGGCCTATTTAAGAAATGTCGATGTTACTGCCAACAGTAATTGAAACGTTGAAAACGTGTTATGTTATTGGGTATATTATACACACATAGAATAGTTTAGCAAATTAGTATTTTTTTCCAAGGGTGTTCTTTATTGCTTGCGGCAACATTCAAAGCTAAAACCTCACCCGCACAGCCCGGCCAAACCAAACCCGTTCCCCACTCTATAGACTTCACTGCATTATTCAATACAAATTACGAAAGTCTGCTTTGTGCAAATTATGGCGTACCCATGGGCTCTACTTGGGTTGTGGCCGTAATACGTTGCCAGGTATGCTGTAATACAGGAGCATCCGATTATAACAGATACAATCGCCACCATGCCAGCCTTCCAAGATCTGAAACAATTATGTAGAGTACATCATTTCGGGGATAAAGGCAGCCACATTGCTATAAATGGTTGGTATTGGTGATCTTATAAGTAAATAACAATCTCACTTGTGTAGAAGGACTACTATTGGCGTTGTTAAGACGAACAGTTGAACTTGACATGTCTGGAACCACGTCCACCCCATGCACTGTTGAAAGTCAAAAAACAATACAAGTAACAGCAGCATTTCAAATATGAAGCGGCCTGTAGCGAAAAAATGATTCCGTGACGTACACGAAATGCCGTCGATGCATGAAAGCTTTGTTTTGTTATTTGTTTTGTCGCTCGTTACTCATTATTTTTACCGACGAACGACTACGCTGTCAGCGGCCTTCATTTAATCAACTTACGTCATACAAGCAATTCGTCGCATCATGGCAGGACTTATGGAAAATATATTTTCAACAACGAATTCTATTGTTTGATACGAACCAATATAACACAGATTATCGCAGCTGACAATACCTGCATATGAAGAGCTCCGGGAAACGGCACAAAGTTATTAATGAAGAGCAGGTTTGACCACCAATACTTGTCACAATTTTCTCGTTGTGGGTCATAAAATATATTCCAATATGGTCCTTGGACATACTTAACGATGAAGTTGGTCACCAGAGACATAAAAGATATTGCCCAGATAAAAAACCAAATATGTTTAATAAAATATTGTATCCATTGTATTCTTCCTGTTTTCCGTAAAGTAGTTATTGTTAAATAAGCTTGTACCGCGCCACTATAAAAAAAATACGGCGAGTGAGTAGGGTGTGAGTAGACTATGTTTTGTTTGTTTTGTTTTGGTATGTTATTTTTTAATATTGAACAACTGTCCAGAACAATTGCAGATAACAACTGGTAAAATGAAAATTCGAGAGACAAATTGTTTACACGTCTCATAGATGCCAAAAAACAAGGGACATTGTACCTGAAGAACTCCTCTATAACATTTACATAGAAAAATATATTCAGTCGTGCTGCAAATTAATGATTAATTGCGTTTTACTCCATTTACGCTTATTCATGTGATCACGTGACTTGGTATTTGTATAAATTAAACAAATGGCATATTTTCAAAGTTTGAAACAAGGTCTTTATTATGGTGTATAACATGTATAGATAAAATGTACGTTTCAGTCAGTGTACTCAGGTCAAACAATTGAACCAGCGAACATATGCTAACCCCTTAAAGGGCAGTGTTCGTCGCGCACAGTGCGTCGTTTCGCCCGCTCTGTTGTTACCAGTATTGTTTTATACGTAGAAAAGTTGACCAAGCTACTGCTCAACCAACTTCAAGAAAATAAACGCGTACTCAGATATAGTTTTGTGGTGATCATAAATCACATTTCATATAATTCCATTTCAACTGGTAACTGCCAACTTTTCCTAATGACGTCATACTTACAATGTAACCAGCATGCTGTCCGCAGCGTACCCACTATTCCAAAACACCATAAAGGGTAAGGTTTGACCAGCGACTTCCATGAAACCCTTCGGATTATCTGATCGGGAGGGAAAAGTATGTTTTGTATCCAATTTCTGGTTATTATGTCGGTAATACAGTAACTTGTAGGGAAAAGATATTGGCACATTCAAGAAAAATTACGATTTGATGCAATTATGACGTAATAAATCACGCTCTGATACGATTATCAAGCTCTGTTGAGCATTGTTACGCTCTGTTGCGCATTGGAAAATGTCAAGATCCGAAGATTGCATGCCGCTTTTGGTCCAGAACCTATATAAAGATGCAGCAGATATACAAATTAAAATCATTGCATCTTTGACTCCAGAACACGATGGCAGAACAACAAGATTCAGAAGTTCCAGATGTACCAGAGCATGATCTATCTGAAGAAGAAATGATGTTTGTCTCCCTGCTGGAATAGATCCGAGGCTGATGATAAAGACGAAGACTAGTGAGTTATGAACATTAATTTATAACATTGACTTTGAAATTATGTTATTATGTGTACTTTGGAAGATGCTAGTATTATTATTCACGTTATTGTTGTTATGTGTTATATGTGTTTCGTCTGCTTGTAATTAATTTTAAAATAATAAAGACTTTATTATTTTTTTCCAATGAAAAATCAGATAATATTTTGTTATTGTAAATTAGGATTGAAAATTTAAAGAAATCAAGTTATAGAATTGAAAATTTAGATATGTGCCATAAATGAACTTTAAAATACGCAATTTTGTGAAATTGATTAATAAATTGATATGTGAGATAAATAAACCTTATTGTAACCAAGAAAATGAAATAAAAGAAATAAAAATATAACACATATAATAAAAAAGAGAAATAGAATAAAAAAATATTCTCCCAAAAGTTTTTCGATTTATTTTTTTATTCTATTTCTCTTTGTTATTATATTATGTTTTA